TACCGTTAGCATACCGTTAGCTGCTACTGTTAGCATACCAGCAGTTAGCGGTTAGCAACAATTAAAGCTATCACAGAGCTACGAGGCTAACTCAACTGTGATTGGAGCACAGAGCAGAAAGGGGCGGGGCTTATGAAGGGTCCCCTTTAATCAGCACTGATCAATACTGATCAATACAGAGCGTGAGGGTTGAGTAAAGGTCAAAGGTCGTGAGCAGACGTACCTATGTGCAGAGCGATGGACAGACCGATGGCTGACCACAGCGAGTAACGACCTCCGACCCACTGAGGATGAGCAAACATGACATCACACGTCACTCCACCAATCACAGCACACGCAACTACAAGCCCCGCCCACTACTGCACCTGGTTCAGGTCACCTGAGTTACTATTGATGTCATAATGTAAAAGGTCTGTACGTTAATTATTATTATACAGTTAGTAACAAACAAACAAACAAACAAACAAACAAACTCACATCCCAGAACTCAAACATGTTCGCTGTGTCGATGCCAAAGTCCTTCACTTTAACCTGGAGGGAGGGAGGGAGAGAGAGACACAGAGAGAGAGAGAGACACAGAGAGAGAGAGAGCTCAGGTAAACTTTACAACCAATCAGCCGTCAGACTCCAGATTGTTCATGCTTTTATTTTGACGTATCTCTCCATACAGGTTGATACAGTCGCCATGGAGACGAGTCCTCCTCCACTCATCTGGAACCACAGAAGAAGAAATCAGCAGGAAACACCCCGAATTCAACCACTCAGGTTGTGTCCTCTCAATCAGGAAGTACAGTTTGCTTATGTGCTTACCTCAGTGTGACACGCAGCCGACCTTCGCTCTGCGTTTGGACCCAACGTCAGCGCCTGCAGTAAAACACACGTTCTGATTGGTTGGGTTACATGAGGGGGCTTTTATTCTGAAACTCTTTGGGTTACAGTGAAAACAGGAAGCTGTTCAGATCAACGTCTGAAATCATTCACACAGATCCAGAACCACTCAGGACCAGACTTTACCTGCTGGACTGATCCTGATCCTGGACTTCTGTGCTGGTTCCTTTGGACCAGGATCTGGACCATCGTTGTGCTCGGCCGTCCTCACTTCCAATGATGTGATCTCTTCAAACTCAGACTCCTCGTTCCTTCCGTTCCCGATCTCTGGGTCAGGACCAAAGTCCAGGCTCTGGGTCTCATCTATCCCTGGTTCTGGTCTCGTTTCAGCTATTGGATCAGTAGGAATCTGGGTTCCAGTCTCTGGTGGTTCTGCAGGCTTCTCTGATTGGCTGGACTGAGATGAGTCAGGCTCATCCACAGCCAGGGACGTCCGTATGACCACAGGATGATCTGACGAGGACAACACAGTCAAACACAGACTCACAAAGACAGTCCACCACAGTCCACCACAGTCCTACCATGGCTGCCCCTCTCAGCTCGAGGTCTGGTCTTCTTCAGGTTGTGGCCCTTCCTGATCTCAGCCAGCAGGTTGTCGATGATGCAGCCTTCGTCCTGTTTAGACACGTCCCTCCTGACTGGAGGACAGAGACGTCTTCAACATTCACGTTTATTATGATTATATTATTGTTGTTTTTGCTGTTGTTATTGTTATCAGTGTTATTATAGTTATTATTGTTGTTGTTAGTGTTGTTATTGTTATTATTGTTATTATTGTTGTTATTATTGTTGTTATTATTGTTATTGTTATTATTGTTGTTATTATTGTTATTGTTATTAGTGTTGTTATTGTTGTTGTTATTGTTGTTCAGTTAGATATTTTGTTGTAAAATATTAGGTGGACGTTGCAGACTGAATTTGAGGTGGATGACTCACTGATCTTGGTGTCTCCTTTGAGTTTCCTCTCCTCCTCCTGCTGCTTCCTCCTCTTCTCCTGCTGCCTGCGACTCTCGTTCTCCTGATCATCAATTACGTATCAATAACAACGATAACATCATCAATAACGTATCAATAACACCGATAACATCATCAATAACGTATCAATAACGTTACCAATAACACCGATAACATCATCAATAATGTATCAATAACATTACCAATAACATCGTCAATAACGTATCAATAACACCGATAACATAATCAATAACATCGTCAATAACGTATCAATAACACCGATAACATAATCAATAACATATCAATAACGTTACCAATAACACCGATAACATAATCAATAACACCAATAACATCATCAATAACATATCAATAACGTTACCAATAACACAGATAACATCATCAATAACACCAATAACATCATCAATAACATATCAACAACGTTACCAATAACATCAATAACACCGATAACATCATCAATAACGTATCAATAACATCTTATTATTTTTTTTTGTTTTGCATCTTTCAATAAAAAACAACATTACAATTGGCTGCCTGTGATTGGCTGCTGACTGCGCTGCCCTGTGATTGGCTGCTGACCGCGCTGCCCTGTGATTGGCTGCTGACCTTGATGGCTTTGAGGAAGAGTCCTCTGAAGGTCTTGATGGTGCTGAAGAGTTGGTCGATGCTGAAGCTGCTGCTGTCCTCACACAGGTAGGTGGACAGGTGCGTCCTCTGGTCCTCCAGCGAGGACAACAGCTGCTGCAGCTGCTCACAGGCCTGCACACTCTCCTGGAAACACCACAGAAGAAGAAGACAGAGCAGGTAAACACACACCTTTATGGTGAAGGTCCAGCAGGGGGCAGCGTGGTGAGTAGTATTGTTTTTGGTGGCCTGTTTTAATTTTAGTTTGAGTCTAGTCTTTGTGTCAAACTGTCATTTTAGTTTTACTTAGTTTTAGTCCCACGTTTATCACTCTTTTTAAGTCTAGTCAAGTTTCAGTCGACTAAAGGTTCTGAGCATTTTGTTTGTATTTTAAGTAATGCGATTTCTATTTAACCAGCTTAATATAGTCCACCAGGTACCCTAGTCAAATAGTATAGACAAGACCAAACTTTTCTTTAAGTCACCCCGATTTCAAAGGTTCAACAACAAGGTTTTATCTTTATCTACTTATATTATTGGTTACCCTTATTACGATCAAGAAATACAACCCCATATTTACTTTTTACTACCAAACAGGTGCAAGCAGTCACACACATAGTTAAAATTAATAAAATCACCAAAGTACTTCAAATGCAGCAATGCCAGGAAAATTGGACACTTACACTTCAAGTTCCTCCACCTTAAAGGAGAAACAAAGTGCTCTGAAATGCCATCGTCCTTTCTTTTGCTGCCAGATTTAACTTTGTCTTCTTGAGTTGCCTCGTCTTAAAGTTGAACGGGGGAACTTCGGCAGATTTTTAGCTAGGCTTGATCACTAGAGGTCAAACCGAGTACTCGTCGAATCAGGAACAAGGACACGACCCAGAATGTTTCTAGCAAACTTGGGGGATCCTTGCAGCTAACTGTCCAGATTCCCCAGTTAGTTATAATACACTTTTGGGGCATCTCCTAAAGAGTCCTTTTGGGCCTCCTCTTTAACAGACCCAAAATGGTAATTAAACAAAGTTCCTAGTTAACTGGTTACCAACATTTAATCAAGCCACATGCCTTTTGTTTCAACTCATACGTTGCTGCAGAAACCGTACAAAACAGTACTGTCGCCTACCTGTTTTTCCACCGCTCGCTTCACCGAAAGCCCAGAATAATCGACCACGGAGATAATGAAGAAAACTGTTTCTGCCCTACAGGGCCCAGAAAGACGGGTTAGGGTTAAAACTGTCAGAATTGTCTTTTCTAGCTTGGAAGGACAATGTCTATTATGTGTTTGATAGTGCTGATGAGGATGGTATAAGCAGAAAGGTAACCATGTTTAGTCACTAGTTTATTATATAATTTGTAGGGTGGGGTGAGCAAAGATGTGAACATTTAGGCATTAAGTATTTACCATATGTATAGTACCGGTGGTCATTTTGGTACTGTGTTTTCATCATTGATCTTTGTTTAGTTAGTGTTAACATGTTAATAAATGCTAATTGTCACAAAGACCCTTACGGTCTACATCAAATTGCATGACAAACTATCCAATAGTTATTGAGGCATTACACTTGACATGTCAACCTCATGGTGGCGCTACAAGAAAGGTCAGGTAATCACAAGGAAATCATTAGGATACATCCTTTGGACACCACAAATACCTGTATAAAATGTCATGGAAATCCATGCAATAGTTGTCGAAACACTTCAATCTTAACCAAAACCAAAAGGAAAGGTGAGGGAATCACTTACATATTTAGGCCGATGAATTTCGTGACAATCCATCTGATAGTGTGTGAGATATTTCTGGCTAAAAACTGCAAGCAAACCAACAGTGTTGGTCAGTCTTCAACTTGTAGTCTTAACACATCTAGAATTTGAGGGACCATGGTCACCTAATTTGACATATTGATGTGTCTGATGTAATAAATTAACAATATTTTTTTTATATTAATAATATTAATATTTTGTTTAGTCTTGAGTGAAGGCTCTATTATGACCCCTAACCTGGGATGTCATTGGGATTATCATTAGTTTTACTCTTCTGGACATGATCCCAGAGTACATGAGGTTAGGGGAAATGTTGCTTGAATGCGTCCTATGATAAATGGTGTCCACACACACATACACCCACTGGAAACTTTGCATACCAATTCCAGTTAAGAGTAGGACTTACGTGCATCCGCAGGGGGTATGACAAGCAATATAAAGGATGACGGTGGTGATTGGAAAATGAGTCAAATCATGTTTTTTTTTTTCATGGAGTTGAGGTTTGGAAACATTCTCAACAACCAGAATCATTTAGTCACTACCAGTAAGGTTTTCTGTACAATGGCACACAGCAGGAATACATTCCTGGAAAGGGGATTGAAGGGTAGTGAAATCGATGGAAAATGAATCAGCCTGGTTTGTGCTTGAAATTTGTCAGTGATTTCAAAGTGTTTAATGACAGAAAAGCATGTTTTGACTTCATAACAGAAGAACCAACCTCCCAGTTTGAGTCACATTTGATCCCTCTGTTTCTTCTGTATGAAAGTCACCTCCCCAGTCCTCAAAATTCCACATAATATTGATCTTCTATTTTCTAATTGTGTCTAGAGCATCTACTTATCTGATAGCTTCACAGTCTAAATAACACAAATGACAGGCAGGTGCTTATTTGGATAAAAGGCTGAAGGTTAGCCTACATAATGATTCTGACCTTATCATGTGCCCCACAGTAAAGCATATAAACTCATCAGTTCAAACAGGGTCACAGGGAACACCTAAACAGAGGTAAAATGAAGAAAAAGGGTCACAGAATGAGGATTTACTAAATACCCTCCCTGATAAAGAGTATATAAGTAAAGAAAAATAGAAATGTAGCCCTCTAGCTATAAAACATGTGAGTTACATGGATGACTTCAGCAGATAATAATTGGAATCCAAGCCCAGTGGCGATAAATTCTTCATTGGGTGACTAAACTAAAAAGGCAAAGAGAAGGTGAAGGAGTGTGTGAGTGTGAAAACGCATTATGTGAGAGAAAAGGAGAGAGAAAGTGAGAGAGAAGGAAAAAAGAAAGACTGAGCCAGAGATATCAAGAGTTCTCCTTTGCGCCTTTGTTTACAGCACCACCTGCTCCTACTACCCTTTGCCGCAGGAGACAGGCGAGCTGATGCAGGCAGTGGCTTAAGAACCACACATGATCACACCACAGCACACACCACAGTGTAGCCCTGCAAGAATCTATGTTTACCACTAACAGAATTTCATTTTTTGCGTGGTACCCAGTTTAGCTATGACTTCACTTGACTGAGAGTTTCATAAATACTGACTTCAATATCCATCTTTATGACTCATGAATGACCTAAAACATACAGCAGTATCAAGAGAAATATTAGAAGCATGAACATGTCCTCCTTTTCCAAACAGTCACATTTCCTTATGCTAGAGCTTTGTGCTTCTGGATGGATATATATCCCATACATTATCATCAAAGAGATAGACCCATCTCCCATAGATCTGCAGTAATACACACATGCTCACTATATTTATGATAGACATAAAGAAATGTCATAAAAAAGAGACAACCTATGGAGAAGTGTATTAGCCATGGACACATGTAATCAGAGGCATCTGATTCAAATTTTCATATTCTGTTTTTGATTCATGCAAGTGCTGCAGCAACTTTAGGGTATTGTTAAAGGAATGATCAGATATTGTTCTTGCTTAGGATGAAGTCCACTGAGGTGCATGGGGTCCTGGGGGTCTATATTCTCTGTGCTTGAGCAAAGCCAGAAAGTTTGTTCTTACATATGAAAAGTGACTAGTTCCATCACTTTTTATACACAGCCGTCCAGCAAAATAGTATAACATAACATAACATAACATAACATAACATAACATATTATCTGGTGACTGTTGCTATGGATGATAAAATGTTTGCCACTGTGAGAACTTTCCAGAATTGTGAAGTCCTTCCTCATATTATGTTTGCTTTGCAGAGTTTTAGGATCTCATGAAGCTTCAAACTCAAACCAGTCTTCCTAGATTGTGTTTCATTGTCTAACTGGTAGCTGATGCAACACGCCCCCAGAAATGCATTTCCCAGTTCATGATTTTCATAATACATAGCACATAATTTAAGTTTCACTCAAGTCAAACCATCTACAGTACAACTTACTCATTTATCACTTATTTCATAAACATACTGCAATGCCCTATGACAAAACTTTTTCATTTTGAGTAACCCAACAGTAGATCGGACCACAGACCCCAAATTTGTTTTTTGTCTTAAGGTCTCTCCTATGAGTAAATCTTTATTTTTAGGTTTGAAAATAAAAATGTCTTTATTGTCAATCAGTGATGAAACTTCAATCAATCAAAACGGCCACCCAATTACTTTTCCTTGCTGTTCCAACTCCTAAAAAACGTGTTAAAAGTTTAAATACTCTATTCCTCCTTTTGTCCTCGGACCCCAGTTTGAAAAACACTGCCCTATATAACCATGGAGAAGTAGAGCACAACCTGCAAGGGAAAAAATAAAAATAACACTAGTACAGCTACAGCATGGTTTCAAATATTTTTGGTTACATAAACTCCCTAAAAAACATTTATGTAACCAAACCATGCAACTTTATGTCCACAAAACAGGTCCAAAACAAAGATTCTGAACACTACTGAGAAGTCAAGGGAAGTCTTGTAGTAACATAGGACAGTTTCCTTAGGCACCTAAAGACTGGCCTCTGGACCACTTGCTGTCCCTCAATCGCGCCCTGCTGTGTTGTGGGGTTGTGTCGGACAGGATGGGGATGAGACAGGATAAGATGAGGAGGACATGCAACCTAAATATGGCTCTTGCAGCCTTGGCCACAGGGAGACAGAGAAGGGGACCACAGACCTCGGCAGCGTACAATTATCCAAAACAAGAGAGTCAAGCCAACCTCCTCTCACTGAGACTCACAACAAGAGCATAACAGAGTAAAGCCAACACAATATTTTACTGTCCTTTACCCCCTGGATCACATACACAGATGTGTGCAAATATGCACACACATATGCACACAGATGTATTCCTATGCACACACACATAAAAAGACACATGTATATATAGACACGATAATCTACTGCATATTTTCAGTGAACTGGTATCATATAAAACATCTACCTCTCT